GGGGGGAGGGGGGAACGGGGGAGGGGAGGGGTGAAGGGGGGAGGGGAATCAGGGGAAGAAGTGAGTGTCGGTGTGAGGGGGGGGGGTGTTGTGGAGTCTGGATATGTGTGGGGTGTTGTGTGTGGTGTGTGTGTGTGTGGTGTGTGTGGTGTGGTGTGTGTGTGTGTGGTGTGTGTGTGTGTGTGTGTATGTGTGTGTGTGTTGTGTGTGGTGGTGTGTGGTGTGGTGTGTGTGTGTGTGGTGTGTGTGTGTGTGTGGTGTGTGTGTGGTGTGTGTGTGTGTGTGGTGTGTGTGTGTGTGTGTGTGTGTGTGTGGTGTGTGTGTGTGGTGTGTGTGTTGTGGTGTGTGGTGGTGGTGTGTGTGTTGGTGTGTTGTGTGGTGTGTGTGTGTGGTGTGTGTGTGTGTTGTGTGTGTGTGTGTAGGTGTGTGTGTGTGTGTGTGTGTGTGTGTGTGGTGTGTGTGTGTGTGTGTGTGTGTGGTGTGTGTGTGTGTGTGGTGTGTGTGTGTGTGTGTGTGTGTGGGTGTGTGTGTGTGTGTGTGTGTGTTGTGTGGTGTGTGTGTGTGGTGTGTGTGTGTGTTGTGTGTGTGTGTGTGTGTGTGTGTGTGTGTGTGTGTGGTGTGTGTGTGTGTGTGTGTGTGTGTGTACTCACCTAGTTTACTCACCTAGTTGAGGTTGCGGGGGTCGTGTCCGAGCTCCTGGCCCGCCTCTTCACTGTGTGTGTGTGTGTGTGTGTGTGTGTGTGTGTGTGTGTGTGTGTGTGTGTGTGTGTGTGGTGTGTGTGTGTGTGTTGTGTGTGTGTGTGTGCATGCTGAGTCAGGGTCTGGCAGCTGTCAAAATAACATATTATATCATTACTCACTCCCCCTACCACCTGTCAACACAATGGGGTGGGATGCATGCTTCCCCACCATCCTTCCTAACTATCTTTCTTTCTCCTTCTTTCTCTTTCTTTCCCCCATTTCTTTCTCCTTTCTCTTTCTTTCTATTTCTCTTTCTTTCTTTCTATTTCTTTCTTTCTCATTCTCCTCTCTTTCTTTCTCCTTTTTTTTCTCTTTCTTTCTCCTTTCTCTTTCTTTCTTCTGGTATCCTGGGTATTGCTTTTGGTCACAAACTCCTCAAAACCATGAAATTCATCTATACTGACACTTCCATCTGTGTTAGAGCTATCACTTGGGAAGAGAAGAGGCCCAGATTCGCTGGGGAGTCATATTTCTTACCACTAGGAATGATGAACAACTACTACTGAAATGGCATTCCCACAATGCACCACTGGCTCCCCAATTTTTTTTTATAGTGCACACACTGACCATGGAGACACATTTTCTCACATATGTGCCTACCAGCTTTCTCCTGCTTGATCTGAAGCTGCTAGAATTTATGCATATTAATATGTTGGAAACACTGGCTCGTAAGATGTATATATATGGCCAAAACAGTCAAAGGGGTAAACATTATATCAAAGAAGGACATAAGGTAAAGAAACTTTTTAAATATCCAAGCTTAAACTTGAAGTGTCTGGTAAAGTTAAATATGAATGATTTAGAGAAGAAATGAATTAATGAATTAATAAATAGTATTAGCTTACTTTATTTAAAGTTTTCTATGTACAGAAAGGCCCTGCTTATACACCAGGTTAGGTTCTGGGTTACTGTTGTAAAGTGAAAAAAATTGCTGTAAAGTGAAACATACTTTCTTTCTTTTTTTTTACTTTCAAATGCATATAAAAGCCTGGTAACATGTTTACACTATTATATATTAAGTGAGTAATATAGATAGGTCTAAAAATGCATACACAGTGCACCCATTACTTACCTTAACATATTTTCATCCACAGCTTACAGTGAGTGGTGAATACAGACACTCATCACTTAGCAATGTACTCATTTACCAACCACTATGAGTTACAACAGGCTCTCCGACCAGTCGGCATTGTGTGCCGTATGAAAACTTGGGTCATGGAAACAGGCAGAGTGGCATCTCAATGTCAAGTATCTCAAGTCTCGTTCCTGCAGCCACTCAGTACACTAGCTTTCACAGTCTCCAAGAATACATATTTGTACAAATTTGTACTTTATTGTGCACCTATAGTACAAGTTGTCAAAGAAAAGGAAGATTCTGACTTCACCCGAAGAAGCGCCAAGAAACAAATAAGGTTATTAATATTGAAGGTGAAAATGAAGGTTACATCATTTTTATACTGTACAATTTTGTATAATATGTAAGAGGTATGCAAATTACAACAAAGTTATCAAAATGGAGTTTCCTTTAGACCTTTTCTTTATTCAGATTAAAATGTTTTAAATATTTTTTATTTTTTTTTATTAACACTTCGGCCATTTCCCACCAAGGAGGGTGGCCCAAAAAAGAAAAACTTTCACCATCATTGACTCAATCACTGTCCTGCTAGAGGCGCACTTACACTACAGTTATAAAACTGCAACATTAACACCCCTCCTCCAGAGTGCAGGCACTGTACTTCCCATCCGGCCTACCGATTTCCCTGAATCCCTTCATAAATATCACCCTGCTCACACTCAACAGCACGTCAAGTCCTAAAAACCATTTGTCTCCATTCACTCCTATCTAATACGCTCACACGTGCTTGGTGAAAGTCCAAGTCCCTCGCACACAAAACCTCCTTTACCCCCTCCCTCCAACCTTTCCTAGGTCAGCCTCTACCCCTCCTTCCCGCCGGTTGCTATAAATGCTTTAAGTATTGGTAAGGGGTGGTTCCTCATTTAGCGACGAATTTTTTTACCGATGTGGTCTTAGGAACGAAACTCTGTCATTAAGTGAGGAGTGTCTGTATATTTATTATAGGAAGTCTGAATAAATGAAGAATGGGTATAACTGAAAACTGCCATATTAGCAAAAAGGCTGTAAAGCCTTCTTGCTAATACGGGGCCTGCCTGTACAAGATACAGTCAAGAATATTACTTGTATATATACAGTCAAGAATATTACTTGATATCCAAAGTAGGAAGACTCTTGTCCATGTTGACATTGACCCTGTACACAATCTGCACGAGAGGATCTTTCAGTTCATGTGTGAACACTGTCTGCAGATTTCCTGCGTTGTCTACCCGCCAACCAACTGTAGCACCAGACTGGAAGAAAATTTTACATTAGAATGTATGACCAGTGTTAGCCAAACAATTATATAAACAGTTTATTTAATTATAATGTTTTCCTCCAGTGAAGTACTGACACCAAATTTAGCCCTTTGAGGGTCGACAGGCCCTCTCTGAGACTCGTTCTCAGGGTCGGCCAAATTTAAAAAAAATATATTTTTTTATGAAAAGATAGAGAATCTTTTCCTGATCATAATGACACCAAAAGTATGATATTTGATGGAATACTTACGGAATTATGCTCTCGCGAAGTTAGCGGTCTTGGCAACGTTAACATATCGGCAATTTTGCCCACTTTGAGCCCTATTTTCGGCCAATTCCACTAGTACTAGTCGACAAAAAACATGAATATTTCGCTAGAACTCCATTTTTTCTATCGAATGAGTGCAATAAACTACCCATTTACCAATCTCAACTATCCAGTACAGTGGTCAGAATTTAGCAATTTTGCCAATTTCACACAAATTTCAAAAGATGCCGATTTCTGAATAGGGTCCATAATAAACAAGAAAGACATTCCTGGCACTAAAATGACATTTCCTTTGTTCATTAGTCATGTCCCAAGGCCCTTCTTACATTCTTTTGCTTTCCACTTTGAATTTTTATTCTCACAAAAAATAATATTGGCGCACTTGCGAAAAAATATTAGACTCACCAGTTGACGTGTATTGGACGCTTGGCATGATTTGTTTACTTTTGACCTTTGGTAAAAATCGAGCATTTCTGCTACTTTGAGCTCAATTTCAAGGTACTTTTCATTGTAAAACAAGTCAAAATCATCTCAATTTCTGTAATATGTCTTCCATTCTACAAAATGAGACCAAGAAAACTAGAATACAACAAGAAATACCATACAAAAATACAGTGCAAAGTCGCTGTTTTATTCCAAAAACACAAAGTTTTTTTTTCTCATTATGCACTGTGTACTGCAAGATTTTTTTTATACTGTGCACACTGACCACATAGACCCATTCTTTCATATGTATGCCTACCAGCTTTCTCCCACTAGATTTGAGGGCTCTAGAATTTAGGCGTACTAGTACGTCAAAACCCTGGGTCGTGAGCCGTACTAGTATGGACGAAACCCTCAAAGGGTTAATGAAGGGTGACCCTAAAGAGAATTTTCAACCACTTATAATTCTATAAAAAAATATTTGAAAAATTCAACACTGTATATTCTTACATAAAAAAGCAATGGCCAGGGAGGTATAAGCTCTTTTAGGAGTGAGGAAGAGTCATTTGAGAGTGTGCGGGGAGGTGTGTGAAGAAGTGGGTAAAATGAAAGAAGGTAAAACAGCTGGGATTAATGGGATCAAAACAAATGTTAAAACCAGATGGGAATATAGTTTTAAGAGTGGTTGGTGCATTTGTTTAATAAATGTATGATAAGGGGAAGGTACCTAGAGACTGGCAGAGAGCATACATAAATTTCTTTGTATAAATGAAAATGGGATAAAAAGAGTGTAAGAATTACAGTAGGGCCCCACTTATTTGGCAGGTTAGGTTCCAAGCTACTGCCAGAAAGCAGACTTTGCCGGAAAGCAGAACTCTACTTTTTTCCATTTATAAATGCACATAAATGCCAGATAACAAGTTTACACTAACATATATTAAGTTAGCAATACAACTAGGCATTAAAAAGTAAAATACACACACAGTACACTCATGATTTACCTCAAAATATTTGTAGTCTTAATGTAGGGTGAGAGGTGAGTTTTATTTGTATAAAGTCAGGTTGGGAAGTATGGGTAGCCAGAAAGGGCAGCCCTCCCCACCCCACCCACACATAATGTAAACAAACCAGATAAACACGTCTGGTTTTGGTCACAAGTCTACAAGTTGCCTGGCTACCACAAGTCCTACAAGTTGCCTGACTACCACAAGTCCCACAAGTTGCCTAGCTACCACAAGTCCCACAAGTTGCCTGGCTACCACAAGTCCTACAAGTTGCCTGGCTACCACAAGTCCCATAAGTTGCCTGGCTACCACAAGTCCTACAAGTTGCCTGGCTACCACAAGTCCTACAAGTTGCCTGGCTACCACAAGTCCTACAAGTTGCCTGGCTACCACAAGTCCAACAAGTTGCCTGGCTACCACAAGTCCAACAAGTTGCCTGGCTACCACAAGTCCTACAAGTCACCTGGCTACAACATCTCATATTTTATTTTTTTTTTTATTATCATTATTATTATTATTCTACTGTGGGGTGTATTTAGATGGATTAAGCAAAATGTCTATATTAACGTTTTGTACAATATTTAATGCTCCTTAGAGTGATTATTATTGTGTTATTATTATTATTTTCATTAACATGGCATCTTCAAGACTAATAAGACACTCTTAGTGGTTTTAATGTGTACCTGCATGCCAGCACAGTGTGTAAGTTTACTTAGGTACAGGTACACATATGTATAATTATCAGTTATAGTAATAATGTAGGTAAGTAGTTAGCCTGGGCTACATAGCTACACAATATTTAATATGGCCCAGAGCCATATTATTACGATCAACATACCATGTTCACTGAGTTTAATCGTTTCTAACAGCTACCTTTAGATGTCATCATAAGCAAAGGGAGAAGTAATTAATAATTCATGCCGAGAATTGTAAACAAAAGCGTTATGCATTAAAGGGTGTGACGTAATGTTTTCCCTCCGCCCGGCTACCACACCTTCATAGTATATAAACTAAATGTTTATATGTTATGTAACGTGTTTCTTATATAATTTTGAAGAAAATTTAATACAGTGGAACCCCCGCATAGTGATTTTAATCCGTGCAAGAGGGCTCATTGTTATGCGAAATGATCGGTATGCGAATGAATTTTCCCCATAAGAAATAATGGAAATCAAATTAATCCGTGCAAGACACCCAAAAGTATGAAAAAAAAATTTTTACCACATGAAATATACATTTTCCTACACACAAAGAGAAGGATACATGCACAATAGTAGAGTAGTACATGCACAATATATATTGTGCATGTACTACTCTACTAAATGAAGAATAAATGACACTTACCTTTATTGAAGATGCAGCAATGACTGATGAGACACTGTGTCCTGGGAGTGCCTTTTCCTCCTGAATACTGTAGGTCCTGTTTGGCATTTTCTTCCAGAACAGGTCTTATCACACTGTGTATGCCACTACGATTCTTAAATCTCTCAAACCAACCTTTGCTGGCTTTAAATTCACCAATATGAGCACTAGTTCCAGGCATTTTTCCCTGTTCACCTGGGTGTTAGTCGACTGGTGTGGGTTGCATCCTGGGAGACAAGATTAAAGACCCCAATGGAAATAAGTTAGACAGTCTTCGATGACACTGACTTTTTTGGGTTATCCTGGGTGGCAAATCCTCTGGGGTTAATTGTTTCTTGGTATTCTCAATAAGCCACACCAACAACGGTGCTACAGCAGCAGCAGCAGCAGCTGACAGTGATACAGCAGCAGCAGATCGATGCTACAGCAGCAGCAGACGATGCTACAGCAGCAGCAGATGGTTACTACAGCAGCAGCAGCAGCTGACGGTGGTACAACAGCAGCAGCAGCTGACAGTGCTACAGCAGCAGCAGACGATGCTACAGCAGCAGCAGACGATGCTACAGCAGCAGCAGACGGTACTACAGCAGCAGCAGCAGCTGACGGTGGTACAGCAGCAGCAGCAGCTGACGGTGCTACAGCAGCAGCAGCAGCTGACAGTGCAGCAACAGCAGCAGCTGACAGTGCAGCAACAGCAGCAGCTGACGGTGGTACAGCAGTAGCAGCAGCTGTACCACCAATAGTAGCGATGGTTGATTGGGGTTTATTATACAACCTGGCCAGCTCGGAGACACGCACTCCACTTTCATACTTATCAATGATCTTTTTCTTCAACTCTATAGTAATTCTCACCCTTATTGCTGTAGGGTTGGCACTAGAAGCTTTCTTGGGGCCCATGGTCACTTATTTTGCAGATAAAATCACCAGAAACACTGTAATAATACGAAATGTTCCGATTGTATGCTTGGATGTTACCGCGGAGGCTGGCTGGTAAACAATGCCACCGGCGGCACATGTGAGGCTGGCTAAGGGCGCACATTGGACGCGTCTCGGACGAACAGCGGTGAGTGGGTTTTTGAGCGGTATGCAAGGCAAAATTTTTGCGATAAAAGCGAGCGGTATGCGGATTAAACGTTATGTGATGCCAACGGTATGCGGGGGTCCACTGTAGATGGATTAATGAAAATGTCTATAATAACGTAAAATTAGACATTTAATGTGCCCAAGAGTGATTATTATTAGTATTACGTAATGTTTTCCCTCCACCCAGCAATCACACCTCCATAGCATATAAACAGCAAGTTTATATGCTATAAACAGCAAGTTTATATGCTATAAACAGCAAGTTTATATGCTATGTAACATGTTTCTTATACAGTTTTGAAGAAAATATCATAGATGGATTAATGAAAATGTCTATATTGATGTAAAATTAGACATTTTATGTGCCCAAGAGTGATTATTATTACATAATAGAGATGTGCTCATGGAGAATATAAACAAACTGGGTGGCCCGCGCAGTATTTGAAAGACCACTTGCCGTATAGGAAAATATGCCTGTTAAAACCCTTTGAGGGTCTAAGCCACAGTTCTACGTCATGAGCTCAGCACACTCAGATAAGCTGTGAGCTGTAAATCTGGGTCTAGATATAAGAGACTGTATCTGTGTGGTAAGTGTGCACCATATAAAACAAATCCTGCAGCCCGCAGTGCATAATAGAAAAAATGCGGCCGTGTTTTTGGATTAAAACAACAACTTTGAGGTGTATTTTTGTATGGTTTTTATGGTTGTATTCGAGGTTTCTTGGTCTCATTCGATAGAATGGAAGATAGAAAAATAGAGATGATTTTGATTGATTTTAGTACTAACAATGGCTTGAAATTGAGCTCAAAGTAGCAGCAATGTTCGATTTTTGCCAATGTTCAAGAGTGAACAA